TTTAGCTTTGTGAAGCTTTTATGCATGTTTTAGTGTGCTTAAGGTCTGTTTTTGGTCATTTGGGTCATCCATGCTTTGCTTTGTATAGCTACCATGCAATCTCCCTTGTAGGCCTTGAGTGTTGACCCCCCTAGCATGCTTTACTTGCTTTGTTTCAGTGGTTTGGAACCATTTATCATGCCATTTCAGACCTTATAGCATGCTTGTATGCTTGCATTTGATGCTCCTTTAATGCTTTAAAAGGTTGGTATCTTATGCTCCATGTTTGGCCCCTTTTGTATGCTTCCATGTATAGGCCATTTAGATGCCATCTAGGTGTGTCTTTGACCTCAATTTGGCATGATTTGAGACTGTTTTGATTCACTTTGATCATTTGCTTCGTGTGTCATATGATCATAGTTTAAGTCCTCGGGCTTGGATGCATGCTTTGCTTGCATTGGTAGGTTGATTTGGCATCATCTTCTACATGTTTTTCAAAGCTTATCATGTATGCTATGTGCCAGTGTTTGCCCCTTTTAAGTGTGCTTGGAAGTTGCTTCTATATGCTTAGGTATTCAACCATGTTTGCATGCATGTTTGTATGCTTAGGTACTTGGCTCATGACATTTTGTTGCATGTTTAATTGGTGTTGCATTTGGCATGCATTTCTTGCTAAGTTTCCTAACATGTTACATGCCTTGCATGTGTGCATGGTTAAGATTACACTTTGCATGTTTGCTAACTTGTATACTTGTCCCCATGTTCATGTTGCATACTTAGCCTCCATGCCTAGGTTGAATTGCATAGAGCATGCATGCTTTGCCTCTTGAATTGAGTATGATAGAGGTTGGGCTTTATGTGTTTAATTGGTTTGCATGTCATTTGAAATCGAAATGCACAACTTGGTTTCTTGGGCCATCACACATGGAAATGCGCGATTGGTGGTCCGAGGGCCAAGCACCATGCTCCCTTGAGTCCCTTGCATGATAGGGAGTGTGGTTGGTGCATACATTTGCTTGAAATACATTGCCATGCCTTGTCTGCCCTCTGCTGCTGTCAAACAGGTTTCAACAGGAAGAATTGGCCGGCCGGCAGTGTTTGGTGCCAACCGGCAAAACAGGTTTGGCCTAGAGCACAATGTTTAGCCGATGACCATTCTAAATGGCCGGTGATGATCTCACTCAGCCGGTAGTGTCCCACAACACTCAGAGAAGCAACCTTGGAAGTTGTGCAATTTTCAGAGAAGCAGAACAACGAAAGCAGAGGCAACTTGTGCATAGCAGTGACTTTCCGAGCGGAGCCGAGCGCGCATTGCATTGGGCCCTCTTCCCGAGGCCGTTTACTGCTTTCATTAGATTAGTTAATTTGTTAATTAATTAATTGGTCTGTAATAATTAATTAGCTTGTAGGTTAATTAATTTGTATTATTCTTTTGGTCCCTCCGAGCGAGGGCAAATTTGTAATAAGTGTGGGTGCGTGTGTGCATGTCTTCCAACCCCCACTTCTTTCTCCCTTTTACTTACCTGCTTTTGATGGTTAGTATTAGGACATGTTTACTTTAGCATACCTTATGTTATGCATGCGTGCATCATTTATCAGTATTGCATGCACCAGGCTCGGCGCATCATACTAACTGCATAAGTATTTCAAATCTAACTTGAATACATGCTACTTGTCCATTTTCACATGTCATTTATAGACTAGCCGAGCCTACTCTAGTGACATTCTGCATGTGTTACATTAGCCATCTTAACATGAACTAGGATCATGCATGTGATTACTAACTGGTTTATGTTTTGGCTTGGAGTACTAGGTGAGCTTTCATGCTTTAGATGCCGATGCGTGTGAGTGTTGCCACAATTGCATGATTATCATGAGGCTAGCTGCTTATATGATATAACTACTTGAATGCCTGTGGATTTGAATTACCTAAATTGGGATAACGCATTAAAACTGTGAGTTTTGAGCCCACTAGATTAGGCAAAACCATCTTTTCTAAAAGCCCACTCAAGGGTGGCAAAACCTGCATTCTAGCTTACTTGCGAGTAGCAAACCATTTTCAAAACAAGCATGAAATGTTTGTTCCAAATTAGGCAACCTAGTCTATACTTGTGTGCTGTGCGCATAACATAGTAATTCTAGGCTAATAACCGGAATAAGAACACCTAATATTTTCAAAAACGGATATCATGGTTAGTAGAGGCCGATCTTCGGATCGGGCGAGAGGGGGTGCTCATAGCTGACCTTCCCCAATCGTACCCTAGCTCCCGAGCCGAGGCAACTCTGGTGATGACAGACATGTGGCCTTCGGCACCGAGTCAGGGTTTCCTAAATTCCCCCATAAAAAATATTTAGGTGGCGACTCTGTATCTGGCAAAGCAGTCCATGTTTGGCATTTCTTTCAAAAAAATCTATTTTCTCAAAACAATTTGCCAGATTTGGACTCTTTGGTTCAAGATTAAGAACCGTGACACAAATCGAGTCCGAACTGTAGCGAGGCCTTCGCGGGCGCGTCTACACACATGTGTTTATAAAAACAACATATCATGTTAGTAGAGGCCGATCTTTGATCGGGCGAGCGGGGGTGCTCATTTCAGGACCTTCCCCTCTCGTACCCAAGTTCCCGAGCCGAGACAACTTTTGTGATGACGGACACATGGCCTTAGGCACGAGTCAGGATTTCCTAAATTTCCCAAAACAAAATATTTAGGTGGCGACTCTGAAATCTGGCAAAACAATCCATGTTTGGCACTTTTTTATTAAAATCGATTTTTCAAAACCAATTGCCGGATTTGGACCCTTTGGTGATTTATTAGTCTTACATTGCACTTTGTGAGATTAGATTTAGAACCGTGACAAGAGTCCGAACTGTAGTAGCTATGAATCCAATTCGTGCCCTTGCACGCGGAGCAATTTCGGTTTCTGAACCCAATAAGATCGTCAATTTCAATTCCAAAGTTGTATTCTCAACAAATAATTTCTCAATTTGGACAAATACACACAAATTAAATCATATAATTCGCAATTAACACATGAATAATTCAAATAATTATAATTTGTATTTTTTGGATGTTACATGGTTGATTTTATTTTTTTTTAGATTTGAAATATATAATTTTTTTTAGATTCAAAGATGTGGTTGAATTGAATAAAAGTGGTTGCAGGATAGTAGTTGAATTAAATCAATTAAATGGAGGGAAAAAGTTAAAAATAGTAATTTGACCATTGGAGCAATATTATTACCCTATAACTATTTTACATTGTTCATTACTAAATTATACATTTACATGTTGATTTTAGCTATGAATCATTGGGGATGCTCTAATACTTTTATATGATGATTTCATTTATACTTTATTTTCTTATGTCAAAGTGCAAATAGGATCATCAGATGAGAAAAGAATTACCCTAAAAATTTAATAAATATGTAATTTGCTTTACACATTATCTAATTTTACATAAATTTCTAACAAAAGATCTAGTTTCATTTGCACTTTATTTTTTTTACAAATTTCTAACAGCAATAAAGTAATACTTTGGAATTAACTGTTGAGTTTTAAAATTTAAAAAGATAAAATGTAAATAAATCATAATTTATTATAATTTACCCTTTCTTTGTTTTATGTATATAATCTTCATTGGCCAACGGAAAACGGTTTTTTCTTTCCAAAACCTCTAAAACGCCAACCTTCTCTCTCTCTCTCTCTCTCTCTCTCCATAATCACTGGTTTATTGTTTTCATTTTCTCTGTTGAATTTAGGGCTTTGTTGTGATTCGAAGGAGCTTCTGATCGTGTGGAAAATGGCGTCTCAGGCGCAGGTCGAAAAAATGGAGGAACGTCAGAACTATCGGAACCTCTGGCACATCGATCTCACCAACTCCATTGCCGCCGATCCTGCCTGTAACTCCCTCCCTTTTTGAATTTCTCATTCGTTTTCGTCATACTTTTTATAAAGGTTTTTTTTTTTTTTTCAATCAAATATTCATTTTATTTCTGATTGTTTGTTTGTTTTTTTAATCAAAATTTTGAATTTTCGTTCTGTATTCAATTTGTTTTCTTCTTCAAATTTTCATTTTAATTCTGATTTTTATTTTAATTTTCATTTCAATTTGTTTTCTTCTTCAAATTTTCATTATAATTCTGATTTTTATTTTGCTTGCAGATTGCTGTTTCTCGGCGCTCTGGTGAGTCTCTGACCTTTCTTATTCAATTGACGATTTTACTTTAGCTTTTGGATTCTTTTTTTTTTCTTTTTGTTTGGTTGTTGAGAAACTGACTATAGGTAAGTTTGACATGCATTGTTTTTGTTGTTATGTCTGGGAATATGTAGGAAAAAAGGAAATTGAGAATTTCGAACTTTCTACTCCATTACATTGCAGATAGCACATTGAATGAAAAAATAAAAATAAAAATAAAAAATTGGAATGATTAATTTATTCATATTCTGAACACAGGAAAAATAAAATAAGATTGTTCATCGGCCCGGCTACGCCAGCATGTCTTGGATGAAGTTATTTTTTTTACTTTGAAAATTAAATACAGGATTTCTATCATAGATACTCATTTTTCTTATGTCTATTTTACAACCATATATAATATTTCCACTTTTTGAGATTAATCTATCTCTTTTTTGGACATTTAGTATATATATTTTGACGTTTTGTGCTTGTTATATTGTGTCTGTTAGATATGTGCATTATTTATGTAGCTGCATTGCACAATCGGTGCATGTTGGCTTGGTTTAGACTGTCTGACTATCATAGGTTTAAATTTTCATGTGTTACCGGATTATGCGCTAATTATGCTTCCCTTTGATGAATCAGTTATGTTATTTATTTGCTTTGTGTTGGTGTAATTACCACCAGAAAATAAATATAGGGCAAAAAGTAAATATTGAGCTAGAAAACCATCACCATGAGAACAAATTCCAACACTTTGTTCATATTTTTGCAAATAGGCATACTACAATAGATAACAGACTTTTTATTATCTGCTATATATAAGTGATATCCATAGAATTTGATGTGTGACTCGTTGGAAAAAACATGTTTTTGAATCAATCACTTGGGATATTCTATTGTTTTGTTTGGAATTCTAGTCTTGTGAGTTGTCATATACCCAAATTCGTTGAAGATTTTGTGTGCCTTGAATTTTCTTGGGTTGATCTCAGTTTCTTTGTTTTCTACTTCTAGTTTTTAGTGTATTTGATTATGGTGTTGGTAACAGTTTTTCTTTTATATTTCTGCCTGTTTGTGTATTGAATCTATGTAAGTGTTGCCGTTTGTGAAGAAGGTTAAATTTTATAGGGGCATAGAGAGTAGGGGAAGCACTTTCTGATCCTGTTTTTGAACTCATGTAAATTGTGTGCAAAGAGGTTATCATAGCTGATTTTGATGTTTCAAAGGTTCATTTGGAAAGCGGCATCTACCTTGCAAGTTGCAATCATCTTTTCTGATGGAATTAATGTGAATTTTAAAGGTTAAGATTCAACAAAATAGTTATAATAGCACAACTTAATAAAATAAAGAAAGAAAGAACACCAAAAGAAATTCTACATTTCAATTATTCTTATTTTTTTTTACCCATTAAACACTCGAATTGAATTAGTTAAAACTACTTTTGGCTTCAATGTTTTCTCAATGAATGGATTAATGTAAGAGAGGGAAAATGCATATATGGGTAGAGCTCTCTTTTTTGGGGATTGAAGAAGGAATAAATAAGCAAAACAGAAAGTGTCTCATTTTTCTCCCCCTACAAATGTAGGAAGGATCTTGACATCCTAGAAAGATGAGAAAGAACAAGTAATGAGGAAAGGTGGACTTGTTAAGTGTTAATTTTTTCTATAACCTACATGGCTGAGAATTGCGCTCCAACTTAACTATTTTGTAAGCACATCTTTTAGTCCTGAGCAATGTTTTCTCTTTTATTTCCCTCTTTATCTCAAAATTTTTCTCTTTTATCTAGTGTCACCTTTATACTATTCTTTTCTTATATTGCTGCCTTCTTATCTGTTTGCTATCTTGTTTATGATTATATCAACAAAAAGCTTACTTGGAAGTACTTTTCATATGTTATTTTGATCTTACTACAATGAAGTTGGTAGCCTAATTAATTCATCTATCTTATAATGTAGTGCTCCCTGTGTATCGTACTTGCTCCGCAAACGAGCTCTTTACGATGACATGTCAAGGTAACCAATGGCTAAGCTTTTTATGAGCTCTTATGATATCAAAAATAGAGTTGTTAAGCTTTTTTTTTTTTTTTTTTTGGTTATATAGGTACACATGCTGTGGTGGCTATATGCCTTGTAGTGGGAAGTGTGGAGAAAGTAAATGCCCTGAATTTTGTCTTTGCACTGAGGTAAGAGGTTCATATGATCTTAATCCTGATGTTTCTGATATATTCATTCATTCATCACTTTAACAACTAAATGGTCTGCAATCCGTGTTTTCTATTAATTTTAATACCATCTCTCTCTCTTTCTTTCATGCTTTGTTCTTGCTTTAGGTTTTTCTTTGCTTTGCAAATTCAGTTGCATCAACACGTTTCATGTTGCAAGATGAGTTCAACATACAGACCACACCGTGTGATAACTGCATTATTGTAACTCTCTCTCTCTCACACACATAGTATACAGGGCTTAGTGCTTTAGTTTTTGTGTCCCTCATATATGCATTGCTTCCTTTTACAGGGATTCATGCTCTGCCTCCAACAATTGGCCTGTATATTTTCCCTAGTTGCTTGTATTACCGGCATTGATGAACTTCAAGAGGCTTCTCAGATACTGTCCTGCTTCTCGGATTTGGTTTATTGCACGTAAGCCCTGTAATACACTGCTGTCAACAACCTTAGCCTAGAAGTTTCAAAAACCTAGTACTGATTACCCGGTTTCTAATTTTGCAGGGTTTGTGCTTGTATGCAGGTAAGTTACCGGTTAATCAAAATGCCCTTTTGATTTGTTTCTTTTTTTGTTTTTACTTGTACCTGAGCAATATATTATCTTAAGCAGACACTTCATTTTCAGCTTCTTATTTAAAACTTTGTGGCAGTAAAAATCTAAATCACCACATAAATTTACGACAAAATCATCAAAATTTTAAATTGAATGATGACTCATTATATTATTTTGGATCCTTTTCTATGCTCATTATTAAGTGATGTACTATTGTGGAGCAATGCAGACACAGCACAAGGTTGAAATGGACAAAAGAGATGGCAAGTTTGGACCACCACCAGTGATGGCGGTGCCTCCAGCTCAACATATGTCTCGTATAGATCAGGGCATTCCTCCACCAGTCGGATATCCAGCACCAGCATATGGGCAGCCCTATGGCTACGCCCAAGGTTATCCTCCATCCGGTTATCCTCCGTCTGGTTATCCTCCATCGGCTTACCCCCAGGCTGGTTATCCCAGGTGATCTTATCATGATTAGTGTTCAAATAACCCCTATGAATGGACACACTGGGCACAAAATGTATATGCGAAAAGAAAAAAAAAATAGAAGTGGGTTTGTTCTACAAATCCTATAAAATTTTATCCATCTGTATTAGTAGCGGCCCTGTTTATATTGATGTGCAAAAATAAAAAAATAGGAAAAAAAACATAACCATAATTGAAAATCTCATTTTTAAAGTGTATTGTAAATACTGATCTGATAGTACAGCAAGACTAAAACTAGAACTCTGCAAATTAAATGTGGATTTTTTTTGTTATAATTGTAAAAAAATATAAATACAAGTTGTGATTATTGAACCTAGAAGGCATGGATTTGTAGTACGTTGCTATTTTATATCTATCATTCTTCATTCTGTGTATGTTTTCAACTAAACTATTATGGTTGTATCTTTCATCCGAAATAGGCGAAAATTGTGCCTTTTTAGAGATTTGAGAGAAAATTTTGAGTAATTCTATTTCCACACACCAAAACATCTCATTCCACATCCTCTACCCCCAATCCTAATCCACTTGCCACTTCCACCACCAGTGTATACCATATACTAACGGCGGATGCACACAAAGATTTGTAGTCTATGAATATAGAAGATGAATTGTAAACGTCTATGTTTGTGGAGTTTCAAACATTTGAATCAAATTATTTATTTATTTTATTTATTACGTGATAGTTTTTAAACTAATCGATTGTTGTGGGCATCTTTCAAATTCAAAAAATGTGATAAGAGTTGTAGAAAGTGTTCACACCAAATGACATGTACACTTTATATTTTAGTATAGATATTAGTATGCATATGCATAATTAAACATATAAATGTTGGAAATTTTTGGTTTACAAGATTTATTTTGGGCCAACTTTGAGCCTAAAATTGAATGGGCTCCAAACGTTTTTTGGGATGGGTCTAAAGAGGTGTTGTGTTCCTTGCTGCATGGTAAGTCACACGGTGAAAACGGTGACACGGTGAAAACGGTTCGTCAAAACCATTTATGAGTGAATGGAAATTTGACGTCGTTTTCGGGTTTGCGGAATTGAACAAATTCAAGAATTAAATGTGGGTTTCCTTATATGGGTTGTCCTACATTGAAACTTGAAGAGAGCTTTTGTGAGTATATAAGCTCTAGGTGTAAAACCTTGGGTTGGGCCCCAATGGGGCACCCCAAGTTTATAGAATGGAGGAGTTATGGACAAAATGAACCTTAGCCCAAACCACCATGCGCGCCGCCGACCGAGCCGAACGCAGGTGTAGGTCGGTTCTAATATTAATTTTTAAGACAAAATTCATTTGAATTTTTTCGAAAATTTATTGTAGGAATTTAATTCCGAATTTGAATTTAAAATTCAAATTTTTTGTCCATAATTGTGTGCCTCTTTTAAGATCCAAATTTCACAACAGATTCTTTAGTTCAAACAGTTTTTCAAACTGTTCAAAACCGGACAGATTCATAACTGTCTAGACAGATTCAAATTTTGGACAGTTTTGTTGCAAATCTGTTTGAATTTTGAATGATATTTGTCCAATTCAAAATAGCACTTGTTCGGTGTCAAAAAGCACCTGTTCGGGGCTGTCTTTTTTGGCTATAAATACCAACATTTCCAGCAGTGTTCAGGGATCAAAAAATAGTCTAAAAATTCAGTTTTTGCTGTCCTAATTTCTGCACTATTGCATATATTCTTCATATTAGTTTTAGGAATTTTTATAGAGAGTATAGAACACAAGGTTCTAATTCGCCGAACAAATTTGTTTGGAGTGCTACTACAAATTTGTGAAAATCATTGTATCCTGGGAGATAGACGTCATTAATCCGTAAGCACCGAAGCGGGGTGAATCTGTCTTAAGGACAGAGTGCCACACACTCGACTTGGTCTTTTATTTTTAAATTCGGTTCGATAAATAAATTCGGTACGTTATTTATTTATTTGTTTGGTTTTGTTTCAATTTATTTTATTTACACAAAAGATTATTCCAACAATCTTAAGATAGATTCAAATTATTCTGTTTACAGAATTTTTCGTTTGTTCCCTTTTCCCTTTCTTGTTCTTATAGAAATTATTTTCTGTGATTTTACAAATCAATATTCTGGTTGGAAAAACAAATAGTGGTTATATGCTATTTGACAAATAGTAGTAATGTATTGTCTATTTTGTTTGTCAACTAGTAGTAATATACTGTTGTCATTAACAATTCAGAATATATATCTGTGGAATTTTGTCAGAAATTAATTTTGGTTTTTAGAAATTATTTTCTGAGTGTTCATTAATTAAAATTCTGATTTTACAAGATGGCAACAGAAAATGTTGTTCTATCTTACAACTAGGGGTGGGCGCAGGTCGGTTATGGCCACAGAACCTCCAATCCGCCATCCGTCCGCCAAATTGGCGGATTGGAGAAAATCAATCTGCATCTGTCCGTCAATCCGGCGGATATGGATTGAGCGGATTGGCAGTTTGGCGGATGGATGCGAATCGGTTTAGCGGTTTAAAATTTTATAAATTTTCAACATAATTCAACTTGTGTACTTCCTCAAAAAAAAAATAAGAATAAAGTATTACAGTCAATGACTTAAAAAATTATTACAATCACTGCATGCCTCATCCAAAGCAAAAAAGTTTGAAACTTTAGAATATCACAATCACTGCATGTCTCATCCACATACTACAATCACAGCATGCCTTATCCACATAAAGTATTACAATCTGTGGTTCTTAAAATATAAAAATAATTCAAACCATGAACCAAGCAGTAGTAGAGATTGTATGTCTCTGTATTGTTACATCTATATCTATTTTTGAAAACAAAAACCAACCAGCATATATTACATTTTCTATTTATTATTTTTAGAGATAGATTTAAAAACCAAAAATTATAGATAAATAATGCGTTTATTTTTTTCAATTCAAAAAAGATATTCAAGTTGAAAACTTTTTTTCAACAGAATATTTAAACTCTTTTTTAATTGAAAACACAAATAGAATATTTAAACAAATTGAAAACATAAAGTCTTATAAATTACTAGGGGTGCTCGCGGTTTGGCGGTTCGGTTGCGGCCAAAGAAATCTCAAATCCGCCATCCGTTCGCTAGATTGGCGGATTGGAGAAAATCAATCCGTAACCGTCCGCTCATCATCACGCATCCGTCCAAAATACGGCGGATCGGTTCGGTTCGGTTCGGTCGGTTTTGGTGGATCGGTATATCCGCTGCTCACCCCTAACAACTCTTAACCTGGCTCGTTTCCTCCATAAGGATGCTCCTATTTTGAAAGAGGATGAAACCAACCAGCAAGTGGTTACTGCGGTCGATGCTTGGAAACATACTGATTTCCTTTTCCGAAACTATATCTTGAACGGACTTGACAACACATTATACAATATCTACAGCCCTATCAAGACAGCAAAGGAACTTTGGAAGTCTTTGGAGAAAAAGTACAAAACGGAAGATGCCGGCTCAAAGAAATTTGTGGTTGGCAAATTCCTGGACTTTGTAATGGTTGATTCTAAGACTGTGATCAGCCAAGTTCAAGATCTCCAACCCATTTTGCATGACATTCACGCAGAAGGCATGTATCTCAATGAATCCTTCCAAGTTACAGCTTTAATTGAGAAATTACCACAATGCTGGAAGGAATTCAAAAACTACCTCAAACACAAGCGCAAAGAAATGTCTTTAGAAGAATTAATTATGCGTTTGAGGATTGAGGAGGACAACCGCAATTCTGAAAAGTGGATTGGTAAGCATCCTATGGAGTCTAAGGCAAATGTGGTAGAACATGCTTCAAAAACCAAGAAACGAAAGTCTTCTGAAGAAAGTTCATCACAAGGCTCTAAAGGGAGGGAAAATAAAAAGTACAAGTTTAATGGCAAATGTTACATCAGTGACAAAGAGAGACATTGGGCCAAAGTTTACCGTAGCAAAGGCAAAAGCAAAAGAAGAACAAGCAATGGTGGACAATATTTCCAATAGTGTAGATGACATCAATCTTTTTGCAGTTGTTTCCGAGGCAAATCTTGTCGAAAATCCTAAAGAATGGTGGGTGGACACTAGTGCTCCTCGCCATATCTATGTCGACAAAAAGATATTCACATCTTATTCTACGGTGGACAATGGTGAACAACTTTTTATGGGCAACTCCTCAACTTCCAAAGTTGAAGGATAAGGAAAGATTGTACGTACGATAACATCTGGAAAGGAACTCACTATTAACAATGTGCTGCATGTACCGGACATTCGCAAGAATGTTGTTTCCGGATCTTTGTTGAGTAAGAATGGGTTTAGGCTAATGTTTGAGAGTAATAAATTTGTACTTATTAAGAATGGGATGTATGTAGGAAAATGTTACATGTCTGATGGCCTTTTCAAGATAAATGTAATGACCGTTGTACCCTCAGTTATTAATAAAAATACATCTTCTTCTTACTTGCTTGAATCTTCAAATTTATGGCATTGTAGACTAGGACATGTTAATTATGGATCTTTACGTAGATTAATTAATATGAAATGTTTACCTAAATTTGACATTGATTCAAATCATAAATGTGAAATTGCATTGAAGCAAAATTATCTAAAACTCCTTTTTATTCAATTGAAAGAAGTACGGAACCGCTTGAATTAATTCATAGTGACATTTGTGATTTTAAATCAATTCAAACCAGAGGTGGAAAAGAATATTTTATCACTGTCATAGATGATTATATTAGATATAGTTATGTTTATTTAATTCGAACCAAGGGTGAAGCTTTGGAAACTTTCATTCAATATAAGAATGAAGTTGAAAATCAACTTAGTAAGAATATTAAGAAACTTAGAAGTGATAGAGGTGGTTAATATGAATCACCTTTTGGTGAATTTTCTAAAGAATATGGAATAATTTATCAAACCACCACTCCTTACTCACCTCAGTAAAATAGAATTGCTGAAAGGAACAATAAGACTTTAAAAGAAATGATGAATGCCATGTTAATAAGTTCTGGATTACCTCAGAACTTGTGGGGGGAAGCAATAATTTTTGCAAATTATATTTTAAATAAAGTACCCCGAAAGAAAGTGAATCAAACACCTTATGAAATGTGGCATAAGAGAGTACCATCCTACAAATACTTAAAAGTGTGGGGGTGTTTGGGTAAAGTGGCTATTCCTAGTCTTAAAAATACTAAGATAGGTCCTAAAATCATTAATTGTATTTTCATCAGTTATGCCAAGAATAGTAGTGCATATCGGTTTTTGATTCATAAATCAGAACATTCCGAATGCATGTAAATACTATTATTGAATCTCGGAATGCATCTTTCTTTGAACATGTATTTCCAAATAAGATTGGATAAGAGACT